AAAAAAAAAAAAAAAAAAAACAGCCACAACCTGAAAAGCAGAAGCTAAAAACGGAAATAATCCTGCCATGGCACTCTACACAGCAGCCCCACAAGAGCTGGCAAAGCACTTGCATCCATCTCCCAAGGGTCTCCCTACACTAGCCCCACCCCTCAGTTCTCTGGTTAGGAGGAGTCCCTGAACTTTTTGTGCCTGGAGTCTGAGGTGCAGGCCTTTCCTGGGCAGCCTGGCCTAGAAGGCTTTCCCCTCCCCAGGCATGGTGGTTTAATAGAGGCACAACTCAGTAAGGACTCTGGGAGTTTTGTGAGGGCTAACAAGATGCTCCTGAACAAATGCAGTCACAGGCTTTGAACACAGTGCCAGAATTTCACATAGAAAACAAATCAGGCCATGTGCAGCAAGAAGAATTGCGTCAAGCTTTTATAAGCATCTTGGCACAGGAACAAGTGCCAAGCCACTGGAGACTGTATGAATGTTGAGCTCCCACTCCTTTCTACTACTCAGCGTGGGAGTCCAGTGACACCTTTCATGGTGATTATTCCAAAAAGGAAGGCTTGATTTTCCTTGTGAAAAGCGTTCAATTGCACCTTCCAGGCTTCTCCCAGTCACTAAAACACTCCACCCACAGGCTCTCATATGCCAGTTTCATCCACTCTTTTTGAGTTGGAATCTCACTTTGTTGCCCAGGCTGGAGTGCAGTGGCATGCTCATGGCCACCACAGCCTCAACCTGCGAGCTCAGGTGATCTTTCCACCTCAGCCTTCCAAGTAGCTGGAACCACAGGCACACACCACCACAACTGGCTAATTTTTTTATTTATTGTATAGAGACAAGGTCTTGCCAAGTTACTCAGGCTGGTCTCCAACCCCTGAGCTCAGGCAATCCTCTCACTTCCACCCCCCAAAGTGCTAGGATCACAGGTATGAGCTACCGTGCCCAGCCTAATCTGAACTGATCTTATACTACAGAAATACGCTATTAGGACTTCAAGAGAAAGTCTGGAATTAAAATAAAAACTAAACGGTCTCTGTAACAAAGTCAAGTTGCATCCAGGGGACAAGAAAAATGATAACTGTGATAACGAATCAAGCACTTTTCCCAGAGGAATGAATGAGCACGTGTAGGTTCACACAGGTATACCCCGTCACATGAACAACACACAGCCACATTCAATCAAGGGAGTCCCAGGCCCCCCCAAAGCCAACTGTCTGCTCTCATCCAGAAGTGCCTTCACCAAGTCTGACCCTGCCCCTCCCACCTCACCACTCACTGAGCCAGTGGGCTTTGGCTCATCTCCTTCTTTTAGCCTTGAAGACCCTCTCCAACCTTCCTTCAAGTCTGAATTTGGTGCTAACTACTGTGTGAGATCACCTTAAACTCCACTCTCCTTTCCCCCTCTGGACAGTCCTACAATCCTTCATCCCTTCTTGGGACTAGTGCCCATACCCCTTCACTGCACAGGCAGAAAATCACTAGCCTTGTCTGTCCATGAGCCTCCCGCAATAGGCCACAAGCAGCCCGGGCTGAGCACAGGAAGGGCTTCCTCAATTCCTGTTCAGGTAAAAAGTTCAACTGAGATGCACCATCCCCACAGGACTGGTGGGACCTTTGCATACTCTTTGTGCACCTAAGTTGGTAAGGCAGGAATTCTCTGAACTCTTGTCTTTTGACATGGTACCAGAAGGGACCCACGAGCCCCTACCTCACAGAAGCTCCCACAGAAGAGCCCACCTGAGGAAGACACAGGAGCATGCCTTACCTTGGTCGGTTTTGGTTGCTGGCTTCCAGTTTTCAGCACTAATTACTGGCAGACAGACCTGCCCCTTTTCATCAATGTTTGGGTGATAGATCTTTGTTTTAAATGTGATCTTCGGTGGTTTGAAAGGGTACTCTGCTGGAAAGTTGATTTCGATTCTGAAGGCCCCCTTATCATATGGAGGGTTGTCCTGGAAGAGAAAAGAAATCAAAATGAACATCCTACAGTTTCCAAACCTGCTGCCAAGATAGGAATGTTCCAATCATTTATTTGATAAATTATTTCAAGTGATGTAACAATTGAAGCCCAAAGATGTCACCTTCAAGACCACCTAGCAATCATTCAGTATTTCTAGAGCAGGATATCTGCTAAATTGTGAAAAGGGCTGAGACTTATGTTCTGGGCTCTTTATGTTTTTTATTTGTTTTGAGTCGGGGTCTCACTCTGTCACCCACACTGGAGTGCAGCAGCATGATCACAGTTCACCACAGCCTGGATCTCGAGGGCTCAGGTGATCCTTCTGCCTCAGCCTCCGAAATAGCTGAGACTACAAATCCCCGCCACCACACCCAGCTAATTTATTTATTTTTTCTGTAAAAATGAGGTTTTGCCATGTTGCCTAAGCTAGTCTCAAACTGTTGGGCTCAGGCAGTTCTCCCAGCCCGGCCTCTCAAAGTACTTAGATTACAGGCATGAGCCACTGCACCCAGCCTCCTTATGTTTTTTTAAAAAATCAACTTTACGGCCGGGCTCGGTGGCTCAGCCTGTAATTCCAGCACTTTGGGAGGCCGAAGTGAGTGAATTGCCTGAGCCTGCGGGTTCAAGACCCGCCTGGGCAACTTGGCAAGACCTCATCTCTACAATAAATCAAAAATTAGCCAGGCATGACAGCACACGCCTGTAGTTCCGGCTACTTGGAAGGCTGAGGCAGAAGGATCACCAGAGCCCAGCAGGTCGAGGCTGCAGTGGCCGAAAGCGGCCACTGCACTCCAGTCTGGGTGACAGAGTGAGACTCCAACTCAAAAATAAATAAATAAACTTTACTTTTTAGAGCAACTTTAGATTTACAGCAAAACTGAAAGTACAGTGATCCCAGATACTCCCTGCTCCTATACATGTACCACCTCCCGCCAGAGAGGTAAATTCGTCACAGTCAATGAACTTACAATGACACATCATTACCACTCAGAGTCCATAGTTTACATTAGAGTTCACGCTTGGTGTCACACACTTTATGGGTTTTGTGTGGTTATCAGGCATGAAAGCTGCAATCAGAAGTTATCCAGCTGCTATAGTCTAAATGTGTCTCCCCAAAATTCATGTTAAAACTGAATCACAGCTGGGCTCGGTGGCTCAGCCTGTAATCCCGCACCTTTGGGAGGCTGAGGTGAATGGATTGCCTGAGCCCGCGGGTTCGAGACCTGCCTGGGCAGCGAGACCTCATCTCTACAATCAATCAAAAAATCAGCCGGGCGTGGTAGTGCGGGCCTGTAGTGCCGGCTACTTGGAAGGCTGAGGCGGAAGGATCGCCAGAGCCCAGCAGGTCGAGGCTGCGGTGACTGGGAGCGGCCACTGCACTCCAGTCTGGGTGACAGAGTGAGACTCCAACTCAAAAAAAAAACAAAACTGAATCACCAGCCGGGCTTGGTGGCTCAGCCTGTAATCCCGCGCTTTGGGAGGCTGAGGTAAGTGGATCGTCTGAGCCCGCGGGTTTGGGACCTGCCCGGGCAACTTGGCGAGACCTCATCTCTACAATAAATCAAAAAATCAGCCGGGCGTGGTAGCGTATGCCTGTAATTCCGGCTACTCGGAAGGCTGAGGCGAAGGATCGCCGGAGCCCAGCAGGTCGAGGCTGCGGTGGCCGGGAGCGGCCACTGCACTCCAGTCTGGGTGACAGAGTGAGACTCCAACTCAAAAAAAAAAACACAAAAAAAACTGAATCACCAATGTGATGGTATTAGCAGATGGGGGTGTTGAGAAGTGATTCAGTCATAAAGAGATTAGTGTTCCTATGAAAGAGGCCCCAGAGAAGTGCCTTGCCCTTTCCATCATATGATGACATGGTGAGAAGGTGTCATCTTGTGAGCCAAGAAAGGGGCCCCACCAGACATTGAATCTGCCAGTGCGTTGATATTGGACATCCTAGCCTCTACAACTGTGAAAAATAACTTTCTGTTGTGTATAAGCTACCAGGTTTTTGACTTTTTCATTTTTATTTTTAAAATATTTTTATTATTTTTTTGTACCAGGTTTGAACTGGATACACAGAAGCCACCCAGATTCATGGTATTTTGTTGCAGCAGACCAAACAGACTAAGACAGCAGCCTTTTCCAGAGTGGCTTCTTTTACTTAGTAATATACACTTGAGGTTCCTCCACATCTTTTCACTGCTTGATAGCTCATTTCTTTTTATTGTTGAATAATATTTGTCTAGATGTATTACAACTTATTTAACCATTAACCTATTGAAGAACATCCTGTTTACCTCTAAGTTTTGGCAATTATGACTAAAACTGTTACAGTATGCAGATTTCTGAGTAGATATGAGTTTTCAATTCATTCTCATTCGGGTAAATGCCAAGGAATGGAATTGTTGGATTCTGTGGTCAGAGGAGGCTTAATTTTGTAAGAAGCTGCCAAACTGTCTTCCAAAGTGGCACACCACTTTGCATTCCCACTGACATGAATGACAGTTCCTGTTACTCCAGATCCTCACCAGCACGTGGCAGTGAGGCCACTCTAATAGGTGTATAATGCCATCTCATTGTTATTTGTTTTCTTTCTCTTTCCAAGACAGGGGCCGATTTGTCACCTGGGCTGGAGTGTAGTGGTCCAGTCATAGCTTACACACTGCAGCCTCAAACTACTGTGCTCAAGTGATCCTCCTGCATCATCCTCATATAGCCCCAACTTCCGGAGAGGACTGTAGGTGGCACATGCCACCACATCTAGCTTTGTTTTCTTATCACAGAACTTTAGGAGTTCTTTGTCCTTCACACAGTCCTTTATCAGATTATGCTTTAGCAAATATATCTTTATCTTTTTTGAAAATAGGAAAATAGTCACATCACAGGTAAATAATAAATCAACCTAGAATATACTGTAAGTACTGACAGGCCAAAAAACTGGCCTGGACTTCAAATCCTGGCCAGCTCAGTTTCTCAGTGGGGGCTAGTACCCACCCAGCTCAATGGTTGGAGGACCCTGAGGAGCTGAGCTGGTCACTCACTAGCTGGTCACTAGGCAGGGTCAGCACTATACCCCTAGGACCTCTTAAAGATCTAGCCCTCCAGGCCTAGACACTCTGATGGCCCCAGGAGCCTCTGAGAGACGCAGGAGAGAGCCTTTTGGAGTCCCCCACCCTACCTATCTCCATAGCTGAGGAGGACCTTCACACTGCACTACCTTTTCCCTGCACTCTGCTCTCCTGAGTCACACCCAGGCCTGCCTTGGCACACCAAACCCAAATAAAGCCAAGATTCAGAAAAGAGAGGACTCAGGAACACTCTTGGGCACCCCCACCCCCTCAAGCCTAAGTGGGTACTCGTAGTAGACAGAGTTCCTCTGCTAGAGAACAGGGTTGGCGCCTACTAGTTCTCTATACACTCCCACATTCTAGCCCTACCCAGAGAAGGGAGGCATGAAGCAGGAACCTTAAAGGATGGGTAAGATGAGGTAAGCCCGAGGGGTGGGAGTGGCCTTCCGGAAAAGGCTAGGATGGCAGGGGCTTGGAGGGAACAGCACAGCATAAGACAGGAAGCTGTAGGCAATGTGGCCTTGGGACTGCTGAGGACACTCTGGGGTCTGAATCATCCCCACAAGCAGCTGAGACCTCATCTCTACAATAAATCAAAAACTAGCCGGGCATAGTAGCGTGTGCCTGTAGTTCCAGTTACTTGGAAGGCTGAGGCAGAAGGATCTCCGGAGCCCAGTAGGTCGAGGCTGCAGTGGCCAGCAGTAAGTGACAGAGTGAGACTCCAACTCAAAAACAAAACAAAACAAAACTCATTCAATCCATGTCTAAATTCCAGGAGTTTTTTTTTTTTTAATCACTTTCCATTCATATTAAGAAAGAGACTGGTTTTACAATTGAATTTTTAAACAATATGATTAAGAATGCTAAGAATCCCCATTTTCTAGGGCATTTCCTTCTAGTCATTATATGCATACATGTAAATAAGATTTATCCAGCACTTACTATATGCTAGGTACTTTTCTGTCCCATCTCCAATACATCTACCCCAGTAGCTGTTCTCAGAAGCTGATGGTTATCATCAGCCGCATTCAGAAGTGTGGCAAGTGAGGTTGAGGTGAAGTGACTGGCCTAAGAACTCCTAAACTCAGACTTCCTCTCCTGTAACACAACCCAATGCATCTGCAGGCAACCATCTGGACCCATCGTTGTCACTTTTGTAAGACCAGGAAACCAGGGAGTCTGTGCAGATGCTAGTGCTGCTGGCTGTGCCATGAAGAGTAAAGTAGTCTTTGTCTCTGTCTGAGAAGTCTCAAGTCTTCTGCTAGCATCCAACACTGGCAGGCTACCTTGTTAGCTTGCAGCAAACATGGTAAAACTTTCAGATCCTTCGCAATTCTTGACAGCAACTTCCCAAGGCACAAAGCAATTTTGTGGCAATTAAGAGAAAGAGGAAGCTCTTCATCATCTGGCACCAAACCACCTGGGGCCTTTCACGCACATGTCAGAACTCTCACATTATAGTCAAATCTAATATTTCTTTCTCATGGCAACCCTTAAAGAGTCCTAAGATCTCATTTCCACTTCATGTTTTTCCAACCCTTAGTAAAGAGCTTCTGAGTCCTTTGTCCCCCACAAGTCACAGTTTTGGGTCACTGCTGTGAAGCAGTGCAGAACACCAAACAGCTCTCCAGCAGCCACAAATGAACTCAGGGAGAACTACCAGCTCCTGACTCTACCTCCTGTGACATGGCATGTCTCTACAGTATGCTCAGTGGCTGTCTGACACCACATGCAGGACTCAGGGCTGACTTGACTCAATGACCAGATTCTAGTTTGGAACTAAAGAACGTTTCTTCTTCGTTCCCAGTGTCAGATTAACTGAAGGCTCTTGTGCGCTCCTGAGACTTCTGTCCAGCTTAGAAGCAATCCCTCAGCCACATCCTTTTCTTGTGACTACCTTTTTTCATCCAGTAAACTAACAAAGCCTGGGTTT